GGATCAAGATTTTAAAACTTAAGAAGAAAAACCTCATCTTCCCTACCTCCCTTTCACACCATAACTCTTCTACCATCAGCCCAGATCCCTTTAGACCAGTGGTTCTCAACCTTGGCTGCACATTAGAATCACCTGGGAATCTTTTTAAAATCCTGATTTCTGGGCCTCATTCTCCAGAAATTCTGTTTCTTTGTTATGGGGTGGGGCCACAACATTAGCAACAAAGAAACAGAATTTCTGGAGGATGAGGCCCAGAAATTAGAATTTTAAAAAAAGATTCCCAGGTGATTCTAATGTGCAGCCAAGGTTGAGAACCACTGCTCTACAGTCTCTCAGTTTACTACATTTGTAACTTTTTGAGATAGTTGCCAAATTTATTTATTCTCAATTTGTCTTTTCTTTTAATTAATGGATATGAAATTATACATTTCCATCCAAATATTGATTTAGGACCACCAGTTGGGACATAATGTGCCTTTTTGGTTTATTAGTTTTAAGCATTATTAAATCGTCATTGTTACTTAGCAATGTGATATTTTATTTCCAAAATTACTGTGTTTTTGTTTCTTTTTTATTGAATTGATTGGGGTGACACTGGTTAACAAAATTGTACAGATATCTGCCATCTTGACCTTGAAGTCTATCTAATTGATTCTTAAATAGAAAATGTGATTAATTGGCATTTCCATCCAATTTCTTGAATTGCAAATGCAATTCTTTCTTTTGGAATCAATTTTCCTGAGCAATTGAGTGAGTAGCCTCATTGCTCGCATGTGAAATTTGCCCAAAAGATTTCTATAAAAGTTGCTAATGATGACTGTGTTGTTTCACTGGGATGCAGAGCTGCCCTCCACCCGCCCTGGCCCCAGCGGTCTGCTCATGTGCTTCTGCAGGAGGCCTTGTCAGATGCTTAGTGCTGTGAGAAATGGCACCTGGGCGGGTGCCCAAGCCTACATTAAGAAGGGAATGGTATTATTGTGCCTTTACAAAAGCATCTTTTATAGCCAAGCAGGAAGAAAAATCACTTACTCTCATAATTTGCTCTATGTATGGCTATTATTGTTAATTATAGTATCCAAATAAAGTGTTTGTTTCGGAGGTCTGTTTAGTTTACGTTTTCTCAATTAGTAAAATTTATTACCCTCTCTCCGTACAATTTGTTTCTTCCTATTAAAATTTTATATAACTTGATTGGATAAAGGATATGGATGGCTGACCAAAATAACTAGTGGGAGAGAGGCTGGTTAAGGTAATGCCTTGTTTCCTTTGTCATTCTATTGAGATGTTAAAATTCAAGCTCTTTTTTCTTTCTAAAATGAAAAAGGCTTAAGGAGTTCTAAATCTTGTTTAGCTAGACGTATCACCTTATATCGCTAAGAATTTTGAATGTGTTTTGACAGATTTTCTTTCTTTGCCATCTAGATTATAATATAGGGTTTCATTTTACAGCACTTAAATATTATAGTCATTTTCAGGAAGAGAAAAAGTTACCATCACCTAGCCCCCTTTATACTGTCATGCATGAATCATCTAGAAAATTTTCGGAATCCATCCAACTGCATTTCTCATTTTTAAAAAATTCCCATATCTGCATACTGTGCCAAGAATTCTATCTGTGTAGTTTAGAAAATTGAGATAACTAAGTAAAGCAAAACAAAAGAAATTAAATAAAGCAGGTTTTACAGTACCATCGAATAAAGCAAACTTTATTCAAATGCATTTTCTTACATAACATTTCCCAGCATTTTACATAATATACTATGAATAAAATATAAAGTAAATCTTCACATATAAGCCCAAAAAAATCTATATTCTATTGTCAAATGGTCTATATTCTATTGTCTATAGAATTTATTCTATGGGATTCTATTCTATAGAATCTATATTCTATTGTCTGGCTGCAGATGATAACAAATGTTTCCTTTTCTCATCAAGACTAGAATTGTTATCCCAAATATAACTGCAGTTGATTTTTAAAGAGGAAAAATAAATAGTTTATTTATGGTTACATTATATAGTTATTTAAACAGCATAGCTTGTGTTTATTGCATTTTCAAATCAGATTTACACGCATTTAAAAATGTGTTGTGTGATTCAGTGACTAGATCATTTGAGACAGAAAAGTCTGTTCTCTAGCATGTGTTTCTTCTGACACTTGACCTGGAAATCAGTCTAATTTTCTATGGCAAAACAATGTTATTAATTGATATCACCATTAAGTTACTTGATGATGGTATTATTGGTCTACATGTGTTTTCTAATTGTTTTTTATTTTAATATTTTGTCATGGCTTGATTATCTTAATTTATTCTCTTGCGAATATTGTTACCTTTTAAGTGTTGTGTGATTCAGTGACCAGATCATTTGGGACAGAAAAGTCTGTTCTCTCGCATGTTTCTTCTGACACTTGACCTTGAAATCAGTCTAATTTTCTATAGCAAAACAATGTTATTAATTGATATCACCATTAAGTTACCTGATGAAGGTATTATTGGTCTACATGTGTTTTCTAATTGTTTTTTATTTTTAATATTTTGTCATGGCTTGATTATCTTAATTTATTCTCTTGCGAATATTGTTACCTTTTAGGTTTTCAAATTTAAATGGCAGGTACTTAGTCATTAAGTTCTTTTTAAATTTTCTAATATAGCTTTAGTTTATGTACCTGTTTCATTTTCAGAGTAGAGCAGTTCACTTGTGGTACATCCGAAGTGTGGACTTCCTCCCAGGTGAGTATAATTTCTGACTGCATTACCTTTTTTTTTTTCAGTAATAATTTTTCATAACAATGCATTCATAATTGTTTGAAAATATCATGGTGTTACTCCAAATGGTTTTCTCTTGACATCTGTGAGGACAAGGACACACGAGGCCCCCTCGTAACAGAGCATAATTGTCCTGTGGGTCATGAGACTCAAAGTGAGACTGGGTCAGGGCTGACGAGGAAAAAACAAGCACATAGATTTGTGGAAACGGAGTTCCCGGAACAGTCCTGAAAGTCTGACCATATCCACATTTTTTTGCTCAGTGGAAAAATTACTCAAGGAAAATGCCTGGGGGATAAAGGAGGGAGAAAAGAGAAGAGGAAGAAGGGGAACACAGAAGGGAATTGGTGATTCCACATAAAATCTTGAAATTGTATCACAGAACTTCTTGCAGTTGCTCAGTCTCCCTCTTAGAACGCATGTCATCATAACTTCCACAAAATGATAGCTTTGTAATTCACAAGGGAAAGAATCATACTTCACCTATTCCAGGTTGTCGTCAATGGTAAGAATAAAGACTGTGGGCCCAGCGGCATTGACCTATGAACCAGGAGGTCAAGGTTCAATGACTCATCGGGGCACCTGCCCGAGATACGGGCTCCATCTCCAGTGGGGTGTGCAGGAGGCAGCCGATCAATGATGCCCTCTCATCATGGATGTTTCTCTCTCTCGCTCCTTCTCCCTTCCTCTTTCTGAAATATATAAAAATATATTTTAAATAAATAAATAAAATAAAAGAACACAGCCTGTGGCAAATGTGGAGGCCAGTGTGCACCTCTGACTTTGAGTTGGCCCTATCTTTTTTGTGGACAGAGAGCGGCTGGCTGGCATTGTGAGCACATACATACCATCCGTGCTTGAATGCCAGTGAGGGCGCCTTTGAATTGGAGACAGAGTGACCCTGACATTGTGACGACTCCTCATTTCCTGCTTTTGTAACTACTCTCAAGTAGTAGTGAGCATTGGAAACACTTCGCCATCTCAACGTATTGGTAAGTACTCAGCATATTTTAAAGCAGCTGGGCATTGCCAGTGACTTAGACTTGAGGCGTTAGCACAGATGACTTGGCCATCGAAGTCGCCTGTGCTGTCTTCGAAAGCAGTGCCTAGGGTGGTTGTTTACAAACATAAGCCTTCTTTACTTCCCCGCTTACACCCTCCAATGGTTTCCCAAGGCCGCATTCCCGAGCAAAACCGTAATAAAGCCCCACACCAGCCTGCGACCAGCTCCCAGTCCTCTCAGAGTCCCACACCCCAGGCCGCCCCTTCGCGTTGCCTGCGTTTTGCTGAACTGTGTCCGCCGCCCCCCAGCTCAGGCCTCCAGGCTGGATGGACGCTCATCGAGGTCCCGGTGTTGGGTTTCCTACCATTTGTCACAGCCTGACATTGAGTGAGGATGAATTAATAACCACTGTTACGGACAACACTTGTCAATTGTCCTCACCATGTTATCCGCACCACCTAGCATTGTGCCTGGGATCCGGTAGGTGCTCAAGAGATATTTTTGGCTGAGCTGAATGGATACACGGCACGGCAGTGACAGCTTTCTTTATGCCGAGGAACAACACATTACAATCCGAAGAGGACACTCGCAATGCGTAACGCACACGGGTGATCACACCTGAGTCCTATTACACTCACAAGGAACGGAAGGTTAAATCTCCTGAACACGGCGGGAGAATGTGCTCTTCT